CATATCATGTAGATTCGGTTGAAACTGCTGATGAGGAGAACATCATCATTTGTGGTTCGAAACGAGGTCCCGAGGTGTTCACACCTTTTCAGCCGTGGGCATTTGGGGCCTCGCTTCGCTCTGAGGTCATCCTTGCTTTGAGGTTGCCATCGTCCCCGGCCGGCTGCAGAAAGCCTCAGAGGGAGTTGAACAGATGACCGTTCGGGCCAACATGGTGGGAAATGGAAGTGGATATGTGAATGTGGATATGTGATGATATGTGATATTATATATTCGTATGGAGAATGGATGAAGTTTTTTTTTACAAAACATTCGACTTCGCTTGGAGGTCAGTGTTTCTGCGGAGTTTCCTGACCGTCGCACTGAGGGTGCCCATCCCCAGCCATCCCTGCTATGACTGGATTCACCCTACATACCTTCACTGAGACTAAGCAGTGGGTCAGATCTGCACGGGTTAGATCGCATATGGTTTTTTCATGCAAACATCGGAAAAAAAAAAGCAGAAAAACACATTTAAAAAAAAAAAAAAACACACACACACACAGAAAAAACAGAAAAACACAGAAAAACACAAAAACACCGAAAAACAGAAAAAAAAACATAACCTATATGTTTTTCTATTTTCAGCAACCCAATGACACACAATTGATCATGTGTGACAACAACAGAACCATTCACCGAGGATGCCGCCATGGGTGTGAGTGAGAGGCAACAGTTGACAACAAGCAAGCGTCTGAGACCACAACAGTTTGCAGAATGTTCGTGTCAGACAACGCTCACCACGAGAGTGTTCTTGCATAGTTGTTTTTTATGTTTTATTGTTTGTTTTTTACATTTTATTCAGATGTTTCATGTTTTTCATATTTAAGATGTTTTAAGATTTCTTAAGATTTTGCTCCTGGAAAATTATTTTGTAATTCAGAAACCCTTTACCACGAACCCCCGGCTTGTGAGATGATTTGAGACATTTTGATAGTTTTTAAGATGTTTTAATATTTTACAGATTTAAAAACATGTTTTTAGATTTAAAATGATTTAAAATGATTTTTTTAATATTTATTTCATTTTTTAGACTTATTTCATTTTTTATATTTATTTCATTTTGTTTGATCTTTATTTCATTTGTTTATATTTATTTTCATGTGTTTTAAATTATTTTTCATCAAAAAACCCATAGCTGATCGGCAATCTGACCCACTGCTTAGCGTCGCTGATACCTTGAGTCGACCCTTGAAACATCTATATAAATACCATCCGGATGTGCAGGCAAGTATTCCATGCATACATGGATTGTCTGTGTATGTGAAGGTGGTGCCCGAAACCAGGATGAATTTGGTGGAGTTCCCCCCAACAGGACGTTCGTGTGCCAGGGAATCGCCATGCATGTCTGCACGTGGCACATGAGCCGTCCCACGGAGCCGTCAGCAGAACTGGGGGATGTCACCAGGATGTCAGTCTCCACGACATGCAAGAAATGTTGTCCCACGTGAGGACCTTTGTTGGGGGGGAAGGAGCCCGTGGGATGGCCCAAAGCCCTTGACCAAGGCCCTCGTTGAATACTTCGATGGCATGCCTTTGCGCTTCCGATCTGTATTGATCGACAGGGTTCCACATGAGGAAGTCATGAGTCATAAGCAACAGTTGGTAAGATTGGTAAGATGATCACAAGTGTTGAGCAAGACCTGCAACCTAACAATCGTCATCCGCTGTCACTGGTGATGACTGGTGGATGATGATGATGATGATGATGATGATGATGATGATGATGATCAAATTGTTGTAGACATCAGTTGGTGGTGATGACTGGTGGATGATGACTGTCACCTAACAATCATCCGGTCTACAACAATTTGAGAGAAGCTTGCGGATGCAAACCACCCTGCTGGATTTCCTACTGGGGTCAATGAGGCGAACAAGACGCTCCGTTCGAAACATTTGATGACACTGGTGAACATGTCACGAAAGCTAGCATCAGCTAGCTGGAGTTGCTCTTGCTTTAGCAAGTCAAGGGCTCGCAGCCTCGAGAATCATGAATCACGTGAAAACTTCACGTGTAGGGGGGGGCCCCCCCCCGCGGGTTCAACTCCCCCCTAGTTTAGGTGGCAGGTGAAGTAGGCCACTGTTTGAGTTTGGAAGGGGGGGGCATGAAACATGAAATTTACGCGAGGGTTCAAGGCTTCAATGATGAGCAACACGGGAAGTCAGAAACCAGGCGTATCAGATACACGTGCCTTTGAGCTTCCTTCGGCATCTCAGTGCATATGGCTGACACTTCACTCGACAAAGATGCTCAAACAAACATACATAAGCCAGGTGTATCTGATACGCCTGGTTTGTGACTTCCCGTGATGCTCATGATGCTGCGTTGCTTTTCTTCAGTCCCTCATTACATATACATGACGATCCAACAGCAGATTCAACAAGCTCACATGTTCATGACATCGACATCGATAGAAGAAACCAAACAAATCATGCAAGCAGCTTTGTTTTGCCTCTGGGACACCTCTTGGGCACCTCTTATGGCATCCACACTGGTTCAACTCCTCCGTGGAGGTTTTGGGATACAGCGCAACAGATTCAACAAGCTCACAGGTTCGTGAACACATCGGATGCATCGAACAGTGTGGCAAAGTCCAGCCACGCTTCCTTAATTATCGGGGACTTCAATTCTAAGGTTGGCTGTGTCATTGCTGTTTGTGTGTCTTACATGTTCACAACCTCATGAGCATTTGCCTCACTCCGCTTGATGTCCCACCAGTCCGGATGCACCCCTGCTAGCTTTCGTCACCTACCCTCGGCCTCAAGTTGGGTGATAACATGGTGGTAACCATGGCCATTCAAATTGGACCCTGCCTTGGTTTTCCCACTCGATCACCAGGAACAGAGTATCTTGTTAAATGGGACTCTCAGAAGGGCTGAAACGGTTTTTCCGCGTAATTACTAATTACCGAGCAATAGGCAATAGGATGATTTGCTGGCATAAATCGGGCTCAAAGACGGAATTCCATGTACTCAAAGACTCCGGGCCCTCAAAGACATGACCCCTGCGTTTCGAGGTCGGGCCTATCCGGATTCTTCAGACAATACAGATGTGCAGATTCGTTTTGAGTCACCCCCGCACCTGATCTATCACGTCAGCTTTGGGGTTTTTTGTTGGGCTCGCCAGGCCCAAAGAGCTTTGCGCAGGGCGCCCGAAGCAGCGATTTCGGCCTGCCGGTGGATGCACGAAGCCTCAGGTGTTTTCGGTCCGATCCAACGCACCGCCGTGGAGAGCCGATCTGCAGCGCGGTCGGTCGCACCGGTCGGTACCCAGGAGGCAGGCCTTTCAACAACCTGTGGCGGTCTTGATGTTTGGAACAAAACAGCTTGGAAAGAAGGTGTCAAAGGTGCTGCAGTGTGCTGCAGCGCACTTGGCTGTGTTGTGTTGGTGTTCTTTCTGATTCGTTCGGCATCTGGAAAACAAGTCCTGCATGGGGTCTGGAGAAAATGCAGTGTTCTTTCGGCAAGCGGATCCACGTTTCCATATATAATCTATTTTTCCCAAGCAACCTCGTTCATCGTTTTCTCTCAGCATGTTTGACTAAGAAACGGTCTTGGAAAGCTGGGGCTATGGTATTTGGTGATTACCAAGAGAGGTTGAAAGACCATATATAAGACCCTCTAGTGGTACATATGGGATGGCCCATGGGGCTGTTATGGAGCTGTTCAACCTCTCTTGGTAGGTGCAGTAGAACTTCCCCATGAAGGAGTAAAGTGTTTGAACTTCCCTCTTCACACTCAGAAAAAAAACGCTCATGGCGTAGAGGAAAGTGCTTGAACCAACGGCCGTGTTCCATGGATGCGAAGTAAGTAAGCTTAAGTGTCAGTGAACCTGGCCCAAGTCATGTCAGATTTATGTTGATGTTTTTCTGGAAAAAACATCACCTGGCTCCTGAAAAAGCCGAAGGGTTCCCTCGCATAAGAAGGAACTCATCACCCGGGGGTTTTGCATGTTTCGGTCCGTGCGACGTGCGGAACGAGGCCATTCTGTGCGCCACCCAGTTGGGGCCGTGAATCGTGTGAAACAGCACCCTTCCCCAAGCAAGATGGAACTCATAGAATATCATAGAATCACAGGGTTTTGGAAGATGTGAACATGACATATGTTCTATCAGAGCTGTTTTTCTTCATGTTTTGTATTGTTTTGTTCCTATTTCTTTGGCATTCGGTCGTTTGTGGTTCGCGGACACCGCATGGTTGGTGCCGCAGCGTCAGTGTTCAGATGTTTGCGGCCGTTTTTGCAAGATCCCTTGGAGGTTTGGATTCTGGGGGACCATATCCTATAACTTTAGGTGGCAAGCGGTGGGACACACTTCAAATTTGTTTTGGAGAACTCAATTGTTGGGACGGTTACGATGCTGTTCGAAGTTTACAAGATCATGTGTGTCCAGAATCCCATCGATACCACCAATGAACCACGCTTCTCACTGCACAAACCGGATTGGGCGAGCATACTTACATGGTTGTGGTTCAACGAAACACCACGAGAGAGATAGAGAGAGAGAGATGTGTATGTGTATGTATGTGTGTGTGAAGATGCTCCATTGAACACCTCCATGCGCTTAGTTCGGCCCGGCCGGGTGAGACGGTGAGACCGGTGAGACCGGTGAGACCGGAGGCCCTACCCTTGCCATTGGGAGGCCGGATCGACGGGACCGTCGTGTCGTGTTTGGCCATGTAGACCAAGCTCCTTGTGCCAACAAGGAGCTTGAATCACCGGCAAGTGTGTTAGATAATATACGTTATAGTAATATAACATATTTATATAGTTATATGTACATATTGTTGTGTATGTAGTTATTGTACACGACGTTAAGTATGTGTGTATACGTATCTATTATATTACCATTATATTTCTAAATGCATGCACTGCACTGTGTGCACCTTTGAAGAGTCATGTGTGCACTGTGTGCACCCACACCTCGACCTCGGCAGCAACCATGAGGCTTTGATACATTCGTAGCTGTTTCGGCTCCTCAATGAGAGCCGCGGCAGATTCCCCGTTCTTAGCCGATAGTGAACATTGAATCGCTCCGAAAAGTCCTCCGGAGGCACCGGCGGCCATGGTGACAGCCATGGTGGCCAGTCTTTTCATCGTTGTGCCAGTTCAGGCCATGACTATGACACTCTTTTGCAGTGAGAGGGGTAGCCCATGCCCCAACCCAATGAGACCTCAGAGTCCCACGGGCATTTCGCCTTCTAGATGTTGGACATGCGGCAGTTCCAAGAAATTCAGCTGTACACTGGATAAGGTGATGACCACCGAAAATGAACAGAATAATTAGACATATGGTCAACCTACCGTGAATTCCGCCCTCCGGGTTCGGACCCACAGCGACATGGAGCTGTTCCGGTGCCCGTTCCGCCTGCGCCTTCAGGACACCCACCTCAGCTGGGAGCCTTTTGGCTGACCCAGAGGACGGTGCGATGGCGACGTCGCGGCTTCGGGTGCCGGCGCCCTTTCGGTGGACCCGAACGGAGCAGTCGCAATGCGAAGCGCCCTTGATGCCTGGGACGCAAATGCAGCACGGCAGGAAGATTGGAGTGGAAGAATTTGAGACCCCAAATGGGTTTGTACTTCAATAGGGGGACCTCCCAACTAATGGATGTCGCTGTTTTTTTCGATTTTCCCGGAGGTCCTGGAGGTACACACCACCCAATCCTCACCCAGCTGGGTGCGCGGAGTTCTCCTGATGCATGTGTTCATCCGCGGGTCCATCATGATCCAATATTAGAATTCGTATGAATTCGTGCTTTCTAGTGCTCTATTGATGGACATGGACATGGAATAATTTGTTGGCTTCAAGACAGTCTCAGGACTTTAAGGAAGAGAAAAGGCCAAGACTGTACATTATAAACTAATTCGTGCAGCAACACCGTTGCTAATGGGTGCTCTCTAGTTACCCTTTTGGTGTGCTTGTTTTTTTGGTTTTGCCTTTTACTCCCCTTTTGTAGTGCGCTCGTCTTTCTTGTTTGCTTGCAAGTTCTTGGTATTGTTGCCTTTTATTAGGCTGGCCTTTTTCTCCTTAGAGGGCTCCTGTCTTCGGTGCCTTTGTCGAAGCTCCACTGTCTACACCCGACCCGGCGGGCCGATGCTCATGTCGGCGTCGTCTCCGTTGGCTCCTCACCTCAAACGGGTTCGTGGCATGCACCCCGCACCGAGCAGAGCATAGTCCTGCTGCAAAGCGCCAACGGAAAGAGGGAGTTGTTGTTCATTGAACGTGCTCTTGGTGACCCCCCACCGCACCACCACCACCAAAAGACTGCAAAAGACCACACAAAACACACCTGCGACGCAACCCCAAACACCGTCTGGATGACGCACGAAGACGGCACCAGGTACTTGACACCGTTGGGCTCTTCCATGGTGGGTGGCCAATGGGGTGCCTGGCAACTCACAGATGATCCCAGCGCGCCCACGACTGGCTCGTGGAGGTTGAACTTTATGTGCCTCAGTCTGTAGAGTTGGGAGGATTTGGTGGGATGAGGGTGGAGACGAAAGCCGGAAGATATACTGTATATACATTATAGATCATATGATATCATTATATAGAATGTATATATACATAATACTTAATGTGATAGTATATTCTATCGTTTTCATGTTCAAAAAGATATAGCAGATATGTGGGTTCAGAAACGGATACAAAGATGACAGAGGGATCGAACTGCGGAGATGGATTGACGTGCCAAATTTGCAGACTGTCATAAGTTCAGATGGACAGGTTTCGGTTTGGAATGGGTGGCCCGCTGGCGCAGGCCGGCGGGGTAGTGCTTTTAGGGTGCTTTTAGTCCTACCCCTTTGGACCGCAGCACGGCACGGCACTGTTAATTGTTTTGTTAATGGTAGTTTTAGTGGTATGTAGAAATTGTTATTATTACATTTTTTGTGGGTTAATTATGACAATAAAATGGTCCGATCCTTAATTTTGGGAGATAAATTAGGTCGTGGAGGAATGTATCGACTGCATTTGGGATTGCCCTTACATCTTTCATTGTTGCTGGAAAGGGTATGAAATGAGGTATTTATATCTTTTTATTCTTTGGTTATTTTGATATATTGTCCCGCGGGAAAGACGCCGCGTCCGAACGACCTGACAGGTCCAAAGATTGGCAAACGATTCGCATCTCGAGCTCCTCCGGGAACTTGTCCAGTACGGTGAAGCCGACGACGTTGCTTGGAGAGACAGGTCGAGAAGTGACTGAGACAGGCACCCCGGTTCCCACCGCATGGGACTGCCATATTTGCATAATTAGTATAAGGTTGATGTGAGGGATCAATGCAGGTACCCAACCAATGGGTTCTATTACACACCCATCACCCATGTACTGTAGGTCAATAGTCCACTCCCATTGGTCGTGTCTGGGTAAATGACTCCTCTGAGGATGGAAAGACGATCGGCTCCTTCAACCGATCTAGATAAGGGGCACCCGACTGGAGAGGGCACGCGAAAGTTCTAAGATGATTGAGAACCAAAATGGGAGCAAGATGTAGCAAGTATGAACAAGCAAAAACAACGGATTGCTGGTGAGGTGCATCAATCAGGTTCGTTGAACGAGGTTTCGTGGTGAAGCTTACCTGGTGCACTCATTATCCACAGGACAGTTGCAATCGTTTATCCTAGCCTAAAATACTGAAGAGCATGCTAACCACTCTTGTCTTCTAAACTCCTGCCTTTTTGCATGGTGGACCTCCTAAAGTCGCCGTAGAGGAACATGGTTGAAACCACGGGTCAAGTCTTATGGGTTCCATGTTTGGGGGTAGTTCTTGCTCGCCAAGCTAAGGATAGATGAACTGCGAGGGACGTACCAGTGGCTACCAGAAGACCCGGGCGTTTTGGGCCTATCCAGCTGGTCTTTTGTGGAAGATCTCTTAGCCCCGAGCGTGGCATTGCACTACGCGAACCTCAACTACTCAGTGCCTTGGGACGTGGAAAACGGGCAGGACAAGGACGACGAGGGCCGAGAAGAGTGAGGGGGGCCCACCCTGTCGCATGCTGCACACCAAATACGTGCCCCATTGGATGAGACGTTCTGCTCAGGGCCTCTTGGTCTAGCGGTGACTTGTTATACTCTTGAGATACTCTAAGCTGAGGGGGTTGAAGATTTGGCGGACGAGAGAGTGGGGAAGCACGCACCCAGCAGCACCCCTCTACTACACTGCCAATACTGCCAAAGCTCATCTGAAGCCACGTGAATCCCACAAGGACTTCCAAAAAATGGACTCTGCATGTCCTAGGTCTCCATACCACGGCAGGACCGGCGTTTTTTCGGTCCCCAGCCCCTCGGTGATCAGGTGGCGCAGGATCCCAACAGCTTCCCGCCCACCTTCACCGGGTCTCCCTCCCTGGCCGCCTCCTCCGCCCTGGCGCCCGCGGAGTGGCAATACTGGTCGGTGGCCGATTGCAAGGCAAGGAACTCGGGGCCCATGGCCTGGGTGATCCCCATCCGAACCAAACACATTTTACATCATTTTATGTTGAGTGATCCCCATCATGGCATATATTCTGGCATTCTATTTGGCATATGTTCTGGCATAACATTTCCAGTGCACGTCTGTCTTTGGCCGCTTTCACCAAATAGAACTTTGGGTGTCCTATTTTGCTTCAGGACGTCCTGATGGCGGTCTTCGCTATTGAAGTGACCAATGGGACCAAGCTGCTAGGTGGTGGTTTCAGTACGTGTTTGCAATAGTCTAGTTTACGTTTATGTTACTTGCGATGTTTGATCTCACTGACGCATATGTTTCGTTCATGAGTGGAAACTACCAGGCCGGGGCGCAGCATGATTTACAACGCATACGGCCAGAAAGCTTCCGAAGTGGTGCCCGATGCGTTGATGGCGCGCTACTCGTTCGTCGATGTCAATCAACGTTTGCTCGCCACAGCAGCTGGGCGATCTTGAGGAAGTTCAGGACTGGTTGTTGTTGGAAGTTGTTCATGTTACTTGTCATTTTTACAGATGCCTTCGCTGAGATGAGGTGACTTGCTTGATTTTGGAAGACTCACCCACTACCCCCCGGGTCAAGCTCCGCCCCGCTGAGGCAGAAGCGCCGACGTTGGGTTCGAACCTTCCCCTCTCGGACGTGCCAAAGAGGCCTAACTTGGGCAACATCCTTCCATATTCGATCAGCTTTGAGCAGGGAGGCTATGACTTCTCCAGACGCTAGGCAGAATTCTCACGCCCAGTAGGCGGTTTTTACAAGTCTAAGTGGAGACTGTTCAAAGTCAAGAGAGTGTCCAACTACCAGAGATGTTTTTCCCGAAACAGGTCCAGTCTACAAATAAGAATGATTTCTTCCAAAGGGTTTGTGTATGTTTTTGGCTGGGAGTTTTTCAAGTTGTTTGCGCTCCGCGTGTGGATTGTTTGGGTCACCTTTCGCGCGACACATGGCTCGACTTTTTGCCGGCCGTCTTCGGGTGTGACCGTGGCTAGACCGACCAACCCCACTGACGTGTCCTGTGACGGTGCTGACCCAGGTTGAGAGATCTGAAGGGTGGGATGTAGTGGTTCATTGGGCGGCAAAAAAGGGGCGTAAAAAACCAAGTCTTGGGACCTTTCCGTGGTGGATGGTTTTGCCTGTTTGAGGGAAGACGCCGAAGTCATTTGACTCTTTGGGCCTTGCATCACACAAGCCCGCATCCGCAAGTGCTTGTTGGTTCTTTTGTACATCTGCTATCGTTCAAGGGTCTTCCTTGTCGGGGAGAGGCAATCCAAGATATCCGATGAGAACGGTCTTTTGACCGCCTAGGTGACCTTTTGAAGAAGGAATTCCGATGGATTCTGAGTGCAGCGGTGCAAGCGCGTGCACTGCAAGATGCCAACTATGGCTTCACTCCACTGTTCATCAGGGACCGGGCCAGCAATCACTATTGTTTCAAGTTCTTTTGAAGCATGCGGCTCAAGAGCGAGCTATAATACTGTAATCAGGGAGGCTCACAATTTGGTTGGCCGAAGAAAGACTTTTCTTGGGAACGTTACATGCGCTGGCGTTTTTTCACGAAAGCTAGCTGGAGTCTGTTTTGCTTTAGCAAGGAGGGTGGGAGCCCAGGACCTGAGTGCTGTTACCTGATATATCAGGACTACACCCCCCCCTCGCGGGGTTCAACTCCACCCTTCTCCTCCTCGGTACCTGCTGCTGCCGCTTGGTCGCTGCTGCTGCTGCTGGCATCTCATCTTCGCCTGGCTCTTGGCTGCTTGCTGGTTGCTGCTGCTTGCTGGTTGCTGCTGCTTTTTGTCTGCTCCGTTTTGCTGCTGTTGCTGTTTGGGGTTGTTGGCTGCTGTTGGTGCTGAAGAAAGCCTATCCGTTAGAATCGAGAGTAGTTGCATTCCCTTTGAGTCGTGAAACGATGCTAATTTCATTATATCCTTAAGAAGCTTGTACAGGCATGTAGCCACCCCACAACCCCCAAGAGTACAAATCAGAATGCACTATCCGCTATCCATGCAGATCAAAAGATTATACTTACTACACGCATGAATGACAGAACCCAGTAAGATGTTTGAACGGGCTGTTTGCTTCACTCATGGTAGTCCGCGTTCCATGTTCGAGCGACGGGGAGCGTGCACAAGCGTTGCGACGGAGTCTTCGGTCGCTGACACATGTTCGCATGCAACCCCTAGATGTTTATCATGCACACCGCTGCTGGCTGCATCGTCAGCATTTAATCGTGGAAAAACAATATATATATCAGATATATCTGTTTTTCCACGTCGCCCTTCTACAATTACTGAGGCAGCACCTATATGTGCTATTGTTCGAGGGGCACGAAAGACTCTAAGGAAAGCTCACTCTTTCCCTGCTGCTGCTGCTGCTTAGTAGCTGCTGCTGCTGCTTAGTAGCTGCTGCTGCTGCTGCTTAGTAGCTGCTGCTGCTGCTGCTGCTGCTGCTGCTGCTGCTGCTGCTTGGTAGCTGCTGCTGCTGCTTGGTAGCTGCTGCTGCTGCTGCTGCTGCTGCTGCTTGGTAGCTGCTCCTGCTGCTGCTGCTGTAGCTGGTGCTGCTGCTTTTGCTGCTGCTTGGTAGCTTCTGCTTGCTGCCGCTGCCGCTGCTGGTTACAGTTATTGTTGTGGCTGCTGCTGCTTGGTAGCTGGTGCTGCTGCTTGCTAGCTACTCCTGCTGCCGCTGCTGGTTACAGTTATTGTTGTTGTGGCTGCTGCTGCTGCTGCTGCTGCGGTTGCTGGGGTGGTTGTGTGTTGCCATGTGTTGGCTGTGTTGGGGTCGTATTGGGGGGGCGCTGTTGGCACTCTCCTTTTCCCTTGGCCATGGCATGTTGCGATTCCCGGCCAGGCTTTTGCTGCCTAAAGAGCCCCAGCGTTGTTTCTTTGTCTAGCTTTCGCCACCCCCGTCTGGGCCACAAGCCTTTTTGCCATGGATTTGTTCTTGAAAATAACCGGCAGCCACCAACACTCAGTTTCATTGTTTGGGCTACTTTGGCGTGAACGCTTGATGCAGGACTTGGCATTGACCAACCCAAAGCACAGCAAAGTACTAAGTACTGATGAAACGAGACCTTTTAATATAAGTGTTTACTGAGTCTAGGTAGGAGACCAAACAGTCATAGTGACCTCGTGGTAGTCGTGGAGTCTGGCCATGCCACAACTGAGTGTGGAGTAGATTCGTTTGGATTCCCTACTGTACCGCTGGCGAAAGCCTATGGCGTGCGAAAGTTTGTGTATTTTGGTGAGTTGTGCTATTGACTTTACGCTTCCAAGCTCAAAATGAAGAGTTCCTTTTGGAGCAGCCCATGGTTCATGTGGTTGTTGTTTGTAGGTGGCATCATTGGTTCCACCCAAAGAATCCATTCAAGTGAAAAGGTTTTGTGGGTCCCGACCTTTGCTATGAAAATATCCATCCACTAAGTATGGAGCCTCAGTCCACTGTGTTTGGGCATCGAATGTTCGGCCACCTGGCTGGAGGACAACTACTTTCTCCTGGCTGTGGCCGTCGCTCTGGCGCTGATCCTGGCGTTGGTCATGGGGACCATCTTCGCGGGCTCCTTGAGGAGGGCAGCGAGCTGCGCGCGGTTGCTCGCGGGCAGCTCGCTGTGTCCCGCAGCCGAAGCCATTGCAAACAACCCACGTAGACGAACAGAAACGCCCAGTCAAACGCGTCGAATGTTCTTCCGGACCGTCAATGATGATTGATGCATTTGTTGCTTCCGGTTAGTGGTTAGTGGCTGTCTTTGGGCTGGAAAACTGTGCACTACTTCTTGAAACTCCACGTGAACAACTCTGAGTTCGACTGACTCCTTGTCACCTCGTTTCAAGTCAAGTCAGGCGGTGTTTCACACCCGGTGCCTCGGCGAATCAATCAGGATGACGTGTGGTCATCGAATCCCGATGACCTTCACATAGGGCGGGGGATTTGAATTCACATGATCGACAGTTGGAACAAGTTGGAGCCGGAAACTCCGAACTGAGATTTGGACGCCACGTGCCATTCATTGCTGACCCAAACTGCTACCATCCTACTTCCGGCGACCGGTCGTTCGTCGCCGCCGCCGTCCAAACGACCCGACGCAGACGGTGCCAGGACGGCCGGTCGAATCTTCTTCCATCGGGACAAGACTCCGGGCTCTCCTCCCCTCTTCGCACGGGACTTTCCATGACGAGACCCGGAACCAGTTCAGCGCTCCGCGGCCGGAAGGTTCCGCTGAAGTAGGGGCGGAGCACAAAACGGATTGAATGCAGCGAGGAAGAAAACACGGCGGAAATGGACGGACATGGGAGTCGTTGCACCTTGGTTTGACAGGCACAACGCAAACCAATGTGGTACTTCTTGGTTTGGGATGGTTTGGGGCTATTTCAAACTGAAGTGATTGCTTCCATTAATATCCATCGCACCACCGGAACGCGGCACACTGAGGGTTTTTCGATCACCGGCGGTCACCGGCGGTCAGCCGGAACCCGGTTGATCAAGCCATCCTTCGAACCTCAAGAGAACCAACACGCACGGCTTTGCGTCATACTCCACACACTCCACGTCACTCACCACACTACTCGCCTACGAGGCGTTGTGTGTTTTTTAAGCACCCGGGTGAAGCGATGAGCGGGGTTCAGATGTTCCATACCCTAAGGGCAGAGAGTCGAGGCTGATGTCAAGTCAAGTCATTTTGACATCCAAATCACTTGCTTTCTTCGCTTCCACTGAGCTCAGCCGGTTCCACCACTCGATGGGGCCAAAAGCTTTTCTACGCATTTCAGCATCGATGAGAACGATACAGTAACGTTTTCGTTATCGATACCTTCTTGCAGACACTGGTAGATGACTATTTTGACGGAAATTTGCCCTCCGGTTTGAGAGAGGGTGCGTTTAGATGTCAACAGATTTGTCCAGATGTTTTAGGTCTGAGAAAAGGGTCAGTCGATGTTACGATTTTATGTTCTTGATGTTCTTTCATCCCGGATGTCAGTTCTGATTTGACCTCCCTGGAGGCCTGGCAGGGCTGTGCTCAGACCTTGGCTCAGCAAGGCCTTGAGAAGCTGAAAGCCAGCACTGCAGGCGTCCGTTGACACGCCAATGGCGTGATGGCACGAGACCAGACAAGCACCGGAAATCCAGTTTGATCTAGGCATGTGCCAACTGCTCATATTTACTCTTTACTCTCCCTGCTCACTGCGAGAAGTTCCAAGAAAGTTTAGCACCTCAATTTACGTGAGATTGAGTTGTACTGTACAGGGTTCTACGTGAGATTTGCCCAACCGCTCAATCTCGAGCGTGAGCGTTCGCAGGCTTTTACCAGCTGCAGCTGCCAAGTGCCCAAGGTGGCGACCGATCTGACTCGTTTTGTTAACAGGCAGAGAGACGCGGGTCAATCTCAGAGGCCTCATAGAATCTCATCGATTGGGTCCTTGAATCAGATCATTTTTTTGATATTACAGTATCTATATCTAAATGTAATCTATCAATAGTCTATATGTGAATAGATATTTATCTAAGTGTCTAAGTACAGTATCTAACTATTGTATTATGCAATATTAATGATAGATGTTAGATATTAATTAACAGTTGACGCGGGAACTCCCAGACGCAGCTTTCTCCGCGGCTTATGACCGCGGCTTTCAAAAGGGTGGGCCTGGCTGGCCCCAAAGCTGTAGGTTACAATGATGACCATCTAGGCACCAGGCCCATGTGTTTTCCATCCATCTAGGCGCTGACGTGGAACGTTCGGCCCTGAGCCGGGTGGACTCGGTTGGACTGCCTCGGTTGTGGTCGGGCCGAGAATTCGGTTTCGGTGGTGGTTTACTCATTGTGGACTTCATATGATTTTGTCAAAGGGTCACCGCAGAGAAAGTACAGGAAACCTTCTTGTGGTTTGTTGGGCATAGACTGCGGCATAGACTATTAGGAGACATTTGTGCAGCAAGTGGAGAGAGGGAGGAAAGGAGAGATATGAGACAGTGTATGAGACGTCCCCCCTGAAACCCACTTTGTACCAGCACTAAGACAAGATCATCACCCAAATTCTGAAGAGGTTCAATTTGTCATGATGGCACATCGATCGTAGCCCGGGCCCGAGGAGTTATGATGTTTACTGACTTCAATATCTTGAAAGAATGAAATTCGTAGACTCGCAGGTATCCTGGTGGCCGCTGTGGTTGGCTGATGTTGGATTGGAAGTAGAATCATATGTAATGTAGGAGGCATTGTGTTGCATGCATTTTGGTGAATACCATGGATGCGAAAAACAGTGTCCTTCGGGCAACAAGTCTTACAATGAAGATCACCTTCACCTCTGTACGCCGATTGTGGTAGACAGTAGTTTACCTGCCGGCAGAAAACACACACACATTCTTCGATGTGGAGCTTCCTGTGTCAGCAGATCACGCAAAAAGGTCTTCGGCCACTGCCTGGCATGTTCTGTGTTTGGCAATCAATCTTCCGGCCCCCACAACACCAGATCTGGAAGCCATCCTGAACATTGTGGGTGAGATTTGGAAAACCACCTGCATTGGAATTGCAGGGTCGCCCAGTGTGTCCACTGCGAAACCACCATGTGGCACCCCGTTTGAGAAAAGAATACCAACTTCCAATATACACCCTGGAAAAAAAAGAACACTTGGAATCTGAAAATTGGCCTTTGGAAGACGATTTTTTGCTCCTCTACCACCCGACGTGGTGGGTTGTCAGGTTCCATGTGGGTCTCGGAACCGTAATTGGATGGTTTCTCTAATCGATTCATGTCCCAATCCCAGCGCAGTGGTGTAGTTGGCCCACGAAGTCGTGGGTGCCGCAAACCGATGGCGTTCGGCAAACCGATGGAGCCCTCGATGTCATGCGGGCGTCCCAGACGTGGAAGCACCAACGTATTTGGCACGTAGAGGAAGGAAGCCACGTTCCGTGGCGTTGGTCACGGACGATGTTCCTGGACTCGGGCGATCTGGTGACCCGGCGGCTGTTCAGATGGCTAAGGGTCCCCACACACCCCCAGAAGCAAACCCAACCGCGAACGAAAAACCGCGAACGAAACACCGCGTCGTCCTCCCTCCGCTACGGACGTCCACCACGCGAAGGACGGGCCCTTTTTGGAGAGACTTGGGCCGGGCCTGGCTGTTCAGGTAGGTTTTTCTCTGATTACTGCAATTGATATGATTTGCGTCTTAGTTCGAGATAGTTCCGATAGTTCGCTGGGTTATAACATATATGGATTGAGAGTAGGCGGCGCGTCATCCCCCAAGTTTAGGTGGTTCATATGCACTCATGGACCCCCCTTGTTTTAAGACATCAGGGGGTTGTGCCATTTGCCTGATTCGGATCAGCCAGTGGCCCGAGGTGAAGAACAACGAGTACGAGTCAGAGCGTGCCATGATGTGTTTCGTCCGGGGCTCTCACCGTGGAACTGGGCGGGCAGCCGGTGAAAACGCTCCAGCCATGTTTGACTTATCGCAGTTTGGTGCGCAGCCCAAAACACCAAGCAACGTCAGATTGGAGCAGAACTCGGCAGGGACGGCAGCAAACTTGTGTTTACTGTACTATGGGGTTCGGAATACCGTTGATGGGCACCGCTAGACAGATGTAAGATTGCTCGCAGCCCATCCATGTTGACACAGGGGTTCACTGACATAAGCAGGACGATGAATCAACGAAGTTTACTTCATGTCATTGTCGCGAAGTGAGGACTTTGTCTGCAGAACACCTAGCCACAATGGCTTTTTGGAGGTTTGTTTAGCCACTCTTGCCATTCTGTTTGTGTGTAGAGAGCCAGCACTCATGATCCGTCTTTGAACTGAGACCGCAGCCACCCCAGCGTTGTGGTGCACTTGTTCGGTTTGTGCAGTCAGGTCACATTACACTTTTTGCTGTTGTGCCGGGCTCCAAGTGACATGATGGGGAATGTGAAGGGCCTTAGAGAGAAACTTTTTGTAGAGGTATTTTTGATATGTTCATAATGTGTGTTCCAGGTATACCTTACCAGGTCATTAGTCCTTACTAGGGAGATGGCCTATTCTGTGTTTTTTTATTGCCATGTGGGCTTTGGCTCTTATTGCATTTCTGTGAGTTGGTACCACTCCAGCTGATCATCACCTGGAGTGGTAACGCAGGGCTATGTAACAATGTAATAGCCAAAGATTCTTTGGCTATTGCAAGGCATGGCTACATAGTCCAAAGAACCCTTCAACCTCCAGAATTCGTGTGTGAAACCCTTGAAACCACTTATGTGGATCCATGGCTTCTTTCTCACACCACCAAAAATCATGGAACCTGAACAGAGGGAGCATTGTACAGCATTCAGAGAGTGGATATAGCTATCCGGCAGATGTGGTAGATGCTGAAATGTAAACCTCCTGGACTTTCCACTCCATGCTGAAATGTATCCTGCGGAGGCCTCGCGCCCCGTGCCGCCCAGCCAGGCTGGGACCAAGACCACCCAGCCCTGCGAGCCCATGCGGCGAAGAGCGTGGCGGAGTTTTTGCGGATGGCCCAGCAGACGCCTGTCGGGGTGCCCCAGGGCGGACCCGGGCGACCGATGGGTCGTCGGTTAGGTTCTTGTTCGTGGTTGTTCCGGCGCGTTCGCTGCATCGTTCGCGTTCCAGGAGATGAGTCATCGAATTTCGTTGTGTCTTTCTTTTGTTGTGGTGTTGGCTGCCTTTCTGGAAGCAGAAATCTAACTCAATTTGTTACGGCCGTTGTCGTCAATCAATCGTTTTGGGCTTCCCGTCAAGGGCCCAAGAGGACGGCTTCGTGGAGAAGGTTGATGCCTAGCTTGGGAAGGAGAGTGACAAGCGTCCAAGAGAAGAAGATGTGGACTAGGAGGAAGTTCTGACCCTTCCTACAAGGTTCGGACCAAAAAGATCCCCAGAAGATGTGTATATACCATGTGGTTTTCCTCTTCAGGGGATCATGATGCTGATTGACATTGATTCATGTCGTGAAAATGACCACGGCCAGACGCTGTCAGGTGGTGAACCTCAAGTCCTGCGTGCCAGATTTGGGCCGCTTCCTCGTGAGGCCCGGGCATTTTTCGGCGAACTGCGAAACCAGGAAACCAGAGGAAGCCAGAGGAAGCCAAGCCAATTCCATCCAATCCAATTCTCTGTGCTTTTCGAAAGCCAGGAATTGGATGGGGGTTTGCTTGTGTGGGAGGCTTTTCCCTTGGAGGATTCTTGGAGACTTTGGTCTCGGAGTGATTTTAACCCTCATCCGTGGCTGAGGTTTCTTCTTGCCGAGAGCGGGGCAGCCCAAGGGAAAGCCCGTTTGCCTCAGCATTTGCCAAGACAGCCAGAACAATATATCAAAACCATGCTTGATGTCGAAGTTCTTGGGCCTTCAAGACCTGAACATCAACATGTGTTCCCAGGT